GAACCCGCCCAAACGTGACATGACGTGAGTCAGACTGAAGCGACTGACTTGCCGTGTTTTCACCGTAACAATATATTATCAATACTATTATATATTTTGAACTGTAATCTAATTATTTTAATAAATATTATTATACTTCAAAAAAATAAAGTTATTAAAGCAATATATTTATTAGATATTTTTTTATAATAATTAATTTTGTAATAGTTTTTTTTTGTTTAATATTTTGTTTTTGATTTTTGTTTTTTTAAACCTTTCTATATATAATTTTAAGTAAATATTTATGATTACTTAATATTAACTTTGATATATATTGATTATAATATTTATTTTTGTCTTAATAATATTTTAAATAATGTTGCTTTTTTTTTTATAAATGAAAATTTTCATTAATAATTATTTTAAGTGTAACAAATATTTCTTTAACTAATCTTTTGTATAAATAGATGAATCATATATAAATAATTAGAATAAAAGCAATCTACAATTAATCAAAATATTATAAAAGATTATATTTTTCTTTAATTTTGAAAAAAAATAATTGGATTTATAATTATAAAATTCTGAATTCTTGTAATTTTATTTTAATTCTTTTAATAAAATATTATTATTTTATATATATATTTTTTATTTTTCTATTGTTTTTTTTTTGATTATATATTGTTATCTTTTAATTCCAATAGTTATAAAATTGACTGAAACAATAATTTTGAGTTGTTTATATTAATTTATTTAATTGTGTTTAAATAAAACATATTAAATATATTAAATTATTAGAAATTAAAAATTATTTTTATTAGTAATTTAGAAGTTTATCAAGGAAAAAATTGAAAGTTTCAATATATTAAATTGTAAATTTCATTTTATTTATTTATTTTGATATTTCTTAGATTATTATTTTTTATTTCTTTATTTTTTCTTTTATTTTATAGAAACACATTGTTTATTGCAAACCTAAATTGATACAATTTTTATTTTGCTCTCTTAAGGCAGTAATATTATTATATATTATCTAATAATTTTGTTATAATACTATTTTTGAAAAAATTTTAAATTCAATTCTATTATATGTATAATTTATAATTATAAAAATAATTTGTAGATTTTGATTTTATTAAGAGAATAAATCTTAATTCTATTTAAAAAAAAACAATATATTGTTTTTATAAATCATATTTAAAGATTTCAGCTATTAATAAATAAGTTGAATTAAAAAGATTTATACTTTAAATATATTTTTATACTTATAATATAATGATTTTATAATTAAATAAATAACTTCAATTTGATTATAAGTTTAAATAATAATAATAATAATAATAATAATAAAACCAATGTTTAAATTTTTAAAAAAGGTTTTTCTGAATTTTAAATTTTAGCAAAATAAATAAAAATTATTTTTTTTATAATTTTTAATTTTATAAAAGTTTTTGATTACTAAATATTATATATATTACAATATATGTATAATATAATAATAAATTTTTATTAGTTTATAAAATAACAAATAATTTAACATTACTTTATAATTAAAATATAAAAAAATTTTATATTTTATTTGGTTATAATCAAATAATTAGCTAAAATAATCATTACTGTTTACAAATGTTTCAAAATCAAGCAAAAATAAAAAAAAATTTAAAAGAAAATTAAAAAACGAATAGTAATAATATTATATATCATATTATTTGTTAACTTTAATACATCAAATAAATCAAATTATTTATTGATTAAATTATTTATTAATAAATAATTTAAAATTAATATTTTTAAATAATTTTGATTACAAATGCATAGTATATTTAATTTTAAAAATAAAATAAAATTTAATTTTTGACACTATTAATATATTTAAGATCTTTATTTTAAAGAACATAACATTTCTTTATAAACTACTCAAAACTAAAATTGATGCATTTCGCAAACGAATATTTGTTTAATGCAATTATGTAATACCTTTAAATATTAAAATCCAAAAACATACGCAAATTTCTTGTCAGATTAAAAATTTTTTAAAAAATTATTTAATACATTAACTATAAAGCAAATTTAATTATTATGCATGATTCAATTCATTTTCAGACCAAACTGAACACATATTTAATTATTCTGCTTTTCTCATGCCTTAAGACTTGATTTGTCTTTATTAATTAAATCTTTGTAATCAAGTATATATATCCCCGGTGATCGAGTAGCATTCAAACAAACTTCTTCAATAATACCTAAATGCAATGTAATGCAAATTAAATTTATTTCAGCAGTTTACGCGCGAAAATTCAGATAAAATTAATGCGTACTTTTAGTGGATGATTTTGAAGCGTGTGCCTTTCCTATATCATTTATTTCATTCAATAGGACTCGAATGTTTTCTGTCATTAAAATTGATGGAAAAAAATTTAACAATAATTACAATATTAGGATACTCGCCTAAAACAATTTACCTTTCAACTCATTCACGGTCCAAGATAACTGATGCCAAAGTTTATGTTGTTATCTACACATACATGCTATTGTCGTGAAAAATATGATTTTTACGTACCTTCCCGATTCCTATAAATAAAATATGAGAAAGGCTAAATATTTTTAAGTAAAAAATACAATAAAAGCTCTTACCCGCATGAATAATTCCAGATTTATCATTCCTAAATTCAAATTTTCCGGCCATCTCTTTAATCGTGCCGGCAATGTCATCTGTCACAGTACCTTTCTTTACCGTCGGCATTAATTGCCTTGGACCCAATATTTTCGCGATTTTTAAAACTGATGGTAACATATCTATCGTAGATATGCATCTATCAATTTCGCCAAATTTGAATGTACCTTCTAATATCTAAGTTAAGAAGTATTATTACAATAATTTCTAATAAGCCTGCAAACTAGTATCAATTAAAATTTGTAATTTACATCTGTAACAACTTCTTCACCACCGACTACGTGTGCACCAGCCGCTAAAGCTTCTTCAACCTTCGGGCCCTTATTAATGAGATACAAAAAAAGACGGAATTAAAAACTTGGCAAAAAAAGTTGAAATGATTAAAAATCCAATTGTAATTACCCTCGCAAATACCAAAAAACGAGCGGTTTTCGACATAGATTTTGGTAAGTTAACCGAGCCACGGATCGTTTGCGCACCTTTTTCGGATCTTAATTTTATATGTAATTCGAATGTGTGATTGGGCCAGCCTACTTCCATTGCCTTTTTCGCATATATGTTAAATTGGTGATAAATCAGTAAATTTTAATTAATTTAATTAACAACGGAGTCATACCTTCACCACAGACACTGCACCAACAAAAGGAAGTGCATTTGCTGGAACGTAAGGGGCCCTTTTCTTCCTTTTTCTAGCCGCATATCTTCTTACTTGTGGAGACGTCTAAAAATAATCTGAGCATTATATAAGACTGCTCACGTCAAACAACAAAGAACTATATATCAAAATATTACATTTCGAAGCGACATACCAATTCGACATTGTGAGCGAATTTATGCGCATAAGAATTGACAAACTGTAATACGTGAGAACGAACTCCTGTGTGGAAAAGCATTTATCTGAAATCAAATGATTATCGTTATCATTTGCTATTAAAATTTTTATTTTGAGTAAATTATTATTTATTTTATAATAAATAATATTAATATTAAATATTAAAATTAAAAATAAATAATAATAATAGAAAATAACAATTGATTTTTGAATTAAAATTTTATTTTTATTTTTATAATTATTACAATATAAAAAAAAATTTATAAAAAATTTATACAATATACTGTATATATAATATATATTATTTATTTTTTAAAGAATTTTTTAAATAAATATATTTTATAATAAACAAATGATCAATTATTTAATTAATATAAAGATTTAATAATTTTTATTTTTATTTTTTTTTTGAAGAAGCGGGCGGTTCCCCGTATATATTTTTTATTATAAATTTTAGACTTGTAACAAGGCAAGATT